TCAATTCTAATTTTATGGTTCATACAATCTTTTATATTAATTGATTTATTATGGAATCTTCTTTAGAATTATTAAGAATTATACTATTGTTAAGGAATATTTGAATCCGATGCATTATTAATCGAATATCTATGGTAAACATTCCTGTTGTTTAAAATTTATTATTTATGTTACATTTATTAATACAGTGATTTATGCATGGAGAAAATTGAAAATAAAATTCAAAAGTTGAATAAATAGTTTTCAATGAATGTTTCAACTCCATGCATTCTCGAGTTAATTAGGGGAATTGAGTTCAAAATGCTAGATGCTAACGACAGTTTTGTTGGCCCTTGGCGTGTCATGGTACACCCAGCTATCAAGGTACTTAGGAAGTACTAGCCCAATGTAATAGCCAACACATGTGGAATGAAGGGATAGTTACTCTTGAGCATAATACTCATGCTTGTTTTCGCAGGCTTTATGCTCGTGCTTGTTTTCATGGCTTCGAGTTTGCGCTTGTCAATTACTTACTCTCATAGATTGTGTGTCCACGCTTGTTGGTTATGTACTCTCATAAATTGTGTGTCCACGCTTATTAATTGTTTTGATTAAGTCCCACTAAAATGATAAAAAATTGAAAATTATTATGTTTAAATTTATTCTATTAAACAAACTATTGTTTGATCATGTATGATTTTATATTATAAATTCCCTCCTAGATTGGATTTTAAAAAATTTATTGTTAGTTAAAAATTTGTGTTTAATATTCCATTGATTTATTTTAAATGAAATTTTATTAATTGCTACCTTTACATGTGTTATTTATACTTTTGATTGGGACACTATTCACCGAAAAATTTCTTTGGGTTCAGATAATGTAAGTGACCTTGCACCTCTTGCTGATTATTAAGGGACTTTATCATTTTTATGGATGATGGAAGCACGCTTCACTCATGTATTTACTGTAAATATTCATTATATTATATAATGGTAGTTAGTGTTCCACGTACACCATAGTTAGATCTAAATTTTATTTTGCTAGTATGTAATTTGCTGGTGTGGAGCTAGTCTCCTTTACTAGATTGATCGACTGGTTTCTCTATTGTAGGAATTTTAGGAGGTCCAAATTGGGGGAAGACTCTGCCGAAATTTCTACAAATTATTTAAGACTTTATGAACTTTATAAACATATATAAAAACTATATAATTGATAATTTAGCTAAATTTTTGCTTAATTAAGAGTTATAGAATGTTAGGTTATCTCATATTCGGTTCTAGTCATACCCTTAATATCGGGATGTGATAGTTTCCTCTTTCCTTTGTTTTTCTCCTTTAAATCAGCCAAGGGTAAATTGGTCCTTGTATTTTCAAAATTAATCACCCTTAAGGACCACGAGACTTCATAGTAAGTTTCCTTATTCGCGGGACATACTTGTATTTAACTCTGTGGGACTTCATTGTAATTTTCCCAATTTCATTTAATGAAAATCAGCATAATAAAAATATTTTATTACAGAAAAATTTATATTTAAGTATATTTTTTAAAAATCAATTTTCTGAAAATACTTTTAAATATGTAATTCCTAAAAAGAATATGAATTTTATTATAAGTCCTTTTTATTAACGCAAATCTTGATATATTAAAAAATTGATTTACATTGGCAAAAGAAAAATTGATTAACAAAAAAATATTATAAACAACACTTTTCCAAAAATTTTATAAATGTATTGATTTATATAAATTTATAATTTACATAGTTTGCATTTAGATTTGTGGATTTGAATTGAAAATTTAGATTTAAAATCTCACATTTGAAATATATATTCTAAATTCTTTATTTATATGATATAAAAAATTTAAATTATAAAATTTAAATTTTTTATTTGAATCTTAAATAAAATTTTAAATTTCAAATTTTATATTTGACTTTAAAGGCAACTCAAACGACATTAGTAGTCTGATCCAAGTTAAAGTTGGCGGTCTAGTCTCAATCAGGGGTGCAACATGGTCTTTGTCAACTCTGGTTGTCCAAACTCGAATGTGTCAATGGTCCAATCTTGATCAACTGTGGTAATCTAGTCTTGGTCTGACGTCAGCAATTTGGTCCTGTTTTGGTTAAAGATGGTGATGCAATCCAGGTCAGTGCAAGTTGTCTAATCCCGATAATCATTGACTGTTTGGTTCCAATCAATGCTATTGAAATTGAGAAGTTAGCAAAGTTGATGAACGAATGTAGATGAAGAAAGGGGCTTTCATAAAAATTTGAAATAATAAAAGTTTATAAATGATTTTACATTACAAAAAGATTGAGGTATGTTTTGGATTTGAATCAAATTCAAATCCACAAATTTTTAATTACTTAAATAATAAATTTGATTCAAATTTAAATTCAAATCCAAACCCAAATTCAAATTCATATGCATCCAAAAATAATAATATTTTAAATCACAAATGGTGATTTAAGAAAAACAAATTGTACATATTAGTTAAAAAAATATCTAAATATTGATTTATTTATTGTTAGGTGTTGTTTAATTGAGGTATTTTTTTAAATGATTAATTAGAGTAGAAATACATACTCCCTTCATTCAAAAATGTAAGGCATTTTTAGTCTTTTGAGATGTAATTATTGTCTATTTTTCAAAAGTGCCTCTACTAATAATGACTTTATATTTATTACAGGGTGTTTAATTGGAGTAAATATGAAAAGATAGAATTAGTTTGAAAGAGGAAGAGATTTGATTAAAAATGCGTTATATTTTTGAATGGAGGAAGTATGTCTTACCTATGTTTTTAATTTTACCATTATATGCATTTATAATTTATTTTTTTGTATATTTTAAATTCTTAATATTAAAATATAATATAATTTAAATTTCTATAATTAATGAGATATATATGTTAAATAATATACTTTCTTTGTTAAATAAATTTTGGCAAAGTTAATCATATTTTTACCAAAAAAAATATTATATAAAATTTTATGAATATTTACATTTTAAAAGAAATTCTTTTTATGTAATTTGCATAACTAAAATTAATTTTGACCAAATTATTCAAATATTTTTAAGTTTATAAAAAATATCTAAATATAATCATGTTATAATATAATTAATTATAATTAAAATTGGTCTAATTGCCAAAAAAATCCTGTGTTTAAAAAACATGGATCAAATTTTTGAAAATTTGAAAATATGACCAATTCATATTGATTATATAGAGTTTATCATTGACATACAAGCGGTTTGCTATTATATAATAGTATATCATTGAAAAATATAATAAAATGGCATAATGCAAAATATAATAGGATAAATTGACCTATTGGCCAAGAAAAATTTTGTACTAAAAAATATAGACCAAGTTTTTGAAAATTTGAGAATATAGTTAGTTTACATTAATATATAAGGAGTTTATTATTAAAAATTTAAAAATATATAAGAGATTTACCATTGACATATAGAACAGTATATTATTAACAAATATAATAAATTGATTATTATATAAAATATAATAAATATTAAATTATTTATTTGATTTGGTCTCATAAAATATGTTATATCTTTAAAAAATTTTAATATAATAAATATTATGCTGTTTGTTTATTTATTTTGATCCTCTAATATGGTTGCATATGTAAAAGCCCCTTACATTAATCAAAATTTTCAATAATCAATTTTATTTAATTAAAATTCAAAGGTTTTTTCTTGGGGTTTTCTTTTTTGGGCGGGCGGCGGGGAACGTGCCATGCGAGCGCTGGGGGCAGTACTAGATACTGGTGCGTGGTGAGTGGTGAGTGGTGACAAACCTGGTGGCTGGTGCTTCCAATAAAAATCAAAACCAGCCAACCGCTTTTGGTTTTTGTGCAACGTGCAAGTAGCAAATCCAGCACGCAAGTGGGGCATTCCCAATTAACATAACATTGACTGAGAAATTCTGACATGAATGCGTCTTTGAATTTTAGTTTACATTTTCAATAATTTATTTGGAAGAAGTAATTATTTGTTGTATTTGGTAAAAACTCATTCCAAATGTATTTTAAGTAAACTTTTGAGGTAAACCCAAACATGTCTATAGGCCATCTGTGTACTATCAAATAAAAATATACTATATCAGATGATTGTTAATAGGAATTGATTCTGTCATTAATGATGATGAAAGAGAGAAAAATGAAATTAAAGAAATACTCTATATTCTAGTCCAAAAATAAAATAATTAAAAATAATAATATATAATACTTTATTTGATTAAATTAGTTTAATTTTATTGAATAGAGTATGAATAAGATAGAAGGAAACAAGTGTTGATCACCCTGTATCAAGTGAATTAAACCAAATAAAGTTGTCAAATTTGCAAGTTTAAGTAAATTTATAATAGAAATATAAACTTGAATTATAAACTCAAAAGAGTTTACTTCTATTAATAAATAATCATTAAAAGTGTATTAATTAAAATATAAAATATGATTATAATTTGATTTAAATATATTTTAAATATAAATGATTAAAATTAAATCCATTACATGGATAAATTATCATGCTCAATATAAAAAATTTAAAATAGGGCAACTTATTATGGTATTTCTTGATTTTATTAATATTAGTTTTTGCTTTTTGACTTTTATTTTTCTTTGAAGTGAGTCCTACTATTTCTATTCTCAAATTCTACATAATATATATTTAACACACTTAACTTGATAAAAAATAATAAGTTTAACAAGTTTAATTAAATTTCTATTTAATTTAAATTTATCACTGAGCAGGCACGATTTTATAAGTTAATAACGTAAAAAAATTTAAAAAGTAAACTTAAAATTAATTGAGTTTGTATTTAATATAAATTTATAAATAAGTTAATATAATTTTATAAATTAAAAATATAAAAATAATAAATTCAGATAGTCAACTTAATGACTCGACATCAATGAAACCAAGTGTTGATGTGGTATACAATAATATAATTATATGCAGAATTCTATTCCATACAGGAATTTCTTTGCCCTGCATTAGGTGTTCCATTTTTAGTTGGATTCTATTTTGACCTTCTTTCTCTCATGTCGAGCATTACAATAGCCCCTCTTCTTATTCATTCACGTTCGCTGATACAAGCTCCAATAATTAATAATATCCGAATGATAAAGAGAATCACACTATCGTGCATCATGATCTTCTTCCTTCTATCGTCGGCCGTTCATGCCCAGTCAAGTTCGCCGCCGGTGGCTTCTCCTAGTGCTACACCCCACAACCGAGAGCCATCCTTCGATCCTGTGGTTGTGGCCCTCGTTTTCGCCCTATTGTTCGTTAGCTGCTTCTCAACATACATCTGCCACGGCTGCAACAAAGACCTCACGGCCGGAGGCCTAACTGTCACCGGCACGAATTTCTGCTCAAGTGGTCCTCAAGGTGTCGACCTAAAGTTACTCGACACCTTCCCGATCCTCCGGTATTCCGCCGTGAAACACCTCAAATTTGGGAAAGCCCCACCGGAGTGTGCCGTCTGCTTGAGCAAGTTTAACCAGCAAGATACGCTCCGATTGCTTCCGATATGTAATCACGTTTTTCACCCAGAATGTATCGATGCCTGGTTAGCCTCCCACTTAACTTGCCCTGTTTGTCGCTCGAGGCTGATGCCGCTGGAGGAGCACCGCTGTGGTGGAAACGAAGTCGTGATACTAATTCCGAACGAGATAAATGCACACAGGGCGTTCGATGAAAGTTCTGAGAGTGGAACGGAGCTTAATTCAGTCAAAGGAAAAAGTTTGGGGAGGTGTCATTCAACGGGTCACTCTTTTGGATTTGGTGAAATCGAAGGGAAGAACAGGGAGAGGTACACTGATAGGATGTCAGGGGGTGATGTGAGGAAGCAGATTACGGTGAATCACGGAGGAATGCGACGGTCGGCGAGCTTCGAAGTGTTTGATTCTGCCTCCTCACTATACTGATTAAAGAGTACTTCATGAGTTTCAAGTCTCGTGAAGTACTTCGGTCATCAGCTTCGTTGAACTGGAAGTTATGGCTGTGACTGTTAGCAACAAAGAAAGTTGGAGTTTCTTTTCCAATGCGAAGATGCAGTATCCAGATAAGCTATCAGGTTGTAACCTTCCAATAGTTATATTTTGGGAATATTTTGTTCATACGATTGATGTCCCAATATGTGTTTTAATATATATTCATTCGGTTGTAAATAGCAAAACGTTCATATCTTGCTAACCATTTACCCAGATATAGAGTAATCTTTGGATTTGATAGTTTTTTTCCCCGTACATAAGGCAAGCTGATGCTTGAAAAGGGGAAAAACTACACAAAACTAACCACTAGAGCATAAGCTCTTTTCCTGATCAATAATTTCCTGACAGATCTTAGGGACATCATTTAGCACCCAAAAACCTTGATTCTCCTTGTATGCATTCTTAGCTAATAAATCAGTGCACTTGATCAATTCTCATCATGAAAAAAAGATTTCTACTTCTTTTAGAAAATAAAGGCAGTCCCTTATTTGATACAAATTGGCATAAAGGGATGATTTGAATCACATTCCCTTAAAATCATATGTATTCCTTCCAATGAATCAGTATGAATTTAAACTTTCTCAAAATTAAGATTTTGGCATATTTTCAAACCCGATCTGATGCCTTCTAGTTCAACTTACCTTCTAATTCAGCTTCAATAGGAGATCCTTGGCTCATGCATTGCTTGAAACCCACTAACCATTGCCCTTGTGAATTTCTCATCACTCCTGCACTCGCGAATCTACCTTGAGTGTTGACTGAATCATCAATGTCTAACCAAAGGTAGCTTGAGGGTAATGGCGTCCATGAATCTTGTCCGTACGATTCGAGACATTATATTTTCTGTCTTGTGCTTGTGCCTCTTCGTCCTCTATGAGTCCATGTTGCATGTGTAATTAAATATTTAAATATTCATTTTTGTTTTTAAGAAGCTTTGACAGAGAAGGTACCATCTGAAGCATTCACCCATATGAACGAATCTTCCACATCACCATCAGGAACACGATGTTTCATTATTTCCAACGCCACCCAGCTAGGCAAGATATTTTGCCATTTATTCGAATCCCATTGCCTCTCCTAAGTTATGAAATCTGTCACACTAGCATGGTGATTGATGAATCTATCATTGGTCTGAATAAAGTAAATTAAAGGTTGATTCCAACCCAACTAATTGTCCCACAACTTGGATTTGATAGTTGAATTGTTCACTTAACTACGGTGACCTCTCTTATATTTTGTTCAAAGTATAGATACCCTCTAGTTTAAAAACCTATATTTTAATTCAATTTTTAACACTATTAAAAATATTCTACTAAAGATTTTAAAATATTTAATTTTTTATCTGTAATCGTATTAAAAGTTTTAAAATTATTAATTTGTTCTTATAATCCAATTGTCTATTCTCTCTTGCAATTTTAAAAATTTTAAATAATTAACTATGTGGATATTTAAATAAATAATTTAATTTTTTGTTAAAATTAATGAAATTAAAAAATAAACATAAATTATAATAAATAATTTTTGTGTGTGTGTGTGTTAAATTCTTATTTTATTTTTTGCCCAAAAATTCTTACTTCGCTAATTTTTTTTTAACTGCGTGTTTGAAATATATTTCAAGTTTTAACTGATTTACATATTTAACGTTTTTTTAATACTAAAACGAATATGTTTACAACAATGAAAAAAAATTAAAATATAAATTAAAAAGGTAAAAGAATATATGCATTAATTTTTTAGGTAATTTGAATGAGTTTTAGATAATATTTACGCTTAAAGAGTAGGTATTTTGGTCTAACATATGTCATTTAACTATCAACTAATAATTAAGTAGATGAAAATGAAATATTAAAAATAAAGGAGATACTTGGATTTTGTAACTAGAGGTTGGTCCAAAAAAACTATTCATACTTGGCAAAGTTTTCATAGGTTTAAAAAAATATAAAAGGGTATCTATAATTTAAATTTAAATAAAGAAGAGGTCAGAGTATTTTTTTCTAAATTGTTTATGAGAAAAATGAAAAATTTAATTTTTTAAATAATAGTGTGTCCAATATATCAATTTTAAATATTAAAGAGTAAAATTGTGCCACAAAATAAATTTAGAAGACGTTTTTAAGTGAATAGTTGAGAAGTAACCATGAACTTTAAATCCATAGATTATTTCAGCAAATATTGAATCACGTCCCTTGTATCCTTGTGTTGAGAAATTTTAGCAAATTTGCTGCTTTGAAAAATCAACATAGAATGATGGAAAGTTTAATCAGCCCAGTACATTTGATTTTGACCAGTCATTGTCAAAGTAGATATGCCTGTCCAATCAAAGTTTAATCACGCCGCTGTATGCTTGTATGAAGTTGAACGTTGATGATGCTCTCTTGCAACACAAAATTAACATCTTCGAATACGGTGGTCTGATTCAAGACTCTAGTGGTGCATTTAAAGTTGGCTACATATTTGACGTGAATGATGGTGACCTGCTGCTTGTTGAACTTTGGATTTGCATGTGGGGGCTTAAAATAGCTTGTGATCTTGGTTACTGAGAGCTAATCCTTAAATCTAACTCTTTGGATGCCGTCAAATTTCTCAATGGTGAAGATTTCTTCTCTCACCCAATTATGGACCTCATTTTTCAGATTTGATCACTATTGGCTCGTGACTGAAGTGTGGAAGTAGAGCAAATATCATGTGATGCTAATGAAACAGTTGACATGCTCACCGAAAAAGAGCTTTATCCTACGTTGTTGATTTTCATCATGTTTTCCCCCTTCTGTCCTGATTTATTTCTTGTAATGCAGCAAGACGTTGCTACTATTTTAGTAATTTATTTCCATCGTTATAAAAATAATCCTTCTTATTAGTAAGTAAATTCAATTCAAAAGTCACATGAAGATTCATTAATTAATAAAGTGACAAGCAAGCAAGCTAACCTAAAATATACCATGAACCTCCTAAATCTCAAACTCCCCAACACAACTCACATAGCCTAACGCTTCAGACACATGGATCTGTCATAACTTTCCATTGAGATCATCAACATATTCGTTCTCACCACTAAAAAATACTGCTGTTTACGTCACCTTTTAATGTCGGTTTCATAAATAATTATTGCAATAAATAAGGAGGTGGTAAAAATGTAAATATCTAAAATTTTTAAATGGTGATGACGACGTCACATTTGATGTCAATTATTTAATAACTGATGTTATTTTCACGTTGGTTTCCAAATGAATCGGCGTGGAAAAAAAGGTTTTTGCCGTCAGTTGTTGAAGAACCGACATCGATAACCAGGTCTGAATTTTTTTTTTTTTTAAAGTGTATGTTTTCACCATCGATTCTGCAGAAAACATATAGGATGTTGGTTATATCTATAACCAACATCGTATCTCCTTTATAAACCATAATTCATTGAAGTTCATGCACGCCGTTTGCATTCTCTTCAGTTTTTTCTGTTAGTTTTAAACTCCCAAAGCATATTCTCTTCTACTGTTGAAGCCTTCTCCACCACCGTCGAAGCTGTGACCGCCACCATCGAAGCCATTTTTGTCGCCATTTATGTGAGTTTGGAGTTTTTGAGGTACATTTTCTTTATTTCTCTTTGTGGGTCAAGTTTATTCATTGATTCAGGGTCTTCATTTGCTTTACTCTTTCTTCCTTTGTCTTCCATTATTAGTGGATCTTCTGTTTCAATGGGTGGTTGCTTCTTCCTCTTCCTCCATTGTTGGATGTTGCTTCAAATTAGTTTTTTGGGTTGCATTTTCATGTCCATAGATTCTAAGTAAGTATCATTATTTTTTTTTTGCCATTTTTTCTTTTATTTATAAAAATTATACTGGCTTGTTATATACATATATATGATTTTTTGCCCTTGTTTTATAATTAATATAATTCTTTTCTTTCTTCAAAATGATTCTGGATAGAGGAATTAAATTTATTGTGATGAGTGCTGTTGAATAAAGGAATGAAATTTGTACTTCTTTAGATGAATTAAATTTGTTATAATGATTTTTATGCCATGAATGTTATTGGATAGTATATGGAATTTATACCTGTTTAGAGAAATTTTTATATGTTTAATTTTGTTTAGATTACCTAAATTTTTAAATTATTGTTTGAGATTTGAGTTAAACTTGATTATTGTTAAAATTTTGAAAGGTCTCATTTAAAGGGAAAACTTTGCCAAATTTTTTTAAAAATTTAAAAAGTTTGTATATATAATATAATAATGGCTTGTGAGTTTGATTTGAACTTCATTGTTGTTGAGATCTAAGTTGAATTTTATTTTTGTTGAAAATTTGAGAGGTTCTATTTTAAGGGGCAATTCCATTGAAATTTTTTAAATTAAGTTAGGAAAATTTAAATATAATATTGTTTATGTTGATTAATTAGGTAGTTAAACAATAAACCATAGTTGGAGGAATGCTAGGAGAACAAGTAAATAATATGAGAATAGGGTGGAATATTTTATTGAATTTTCTAAAAGAAATGTTCCTAGTAAAAATGAACAATATTTTTGTCCATGTGTGAAATGTTTAAATGGGAATCAACTAGATATTGATGAAATAATAGAGTATTTACTTTGTGATGGAATAAATTTAAGGTATAAAAAATGGATATGGCATGGTAAAACTAAAAGATTGAGTTATACGTCCCAAGAGAAAGAAGAAAGTGAGAATGCCTGAAATGATAAAATAGAAGATATGATCCATGATATTGGAATGGAGTCATTTGACCAAATACATGCATATGAGAGCTCATAAAGTGATGCAGAAAAGCCTTTGTATCCAGGGTGTAAAAAGTATACACGTTTGACTGATGTGTTAAGATTGGTCAACTTGAAGGTCAAATGTGGGTGGACCGATACAAGTTTTACTTAGTTGCTTGAATTATTGGTAGATATGTTCATTGATAGTAATACACTTCCTAACCACCAATATGAGGCCAATAAAATATTATGCCAAATGGGTATGTAGTATAAAAAAATATACACTTATCTTAATAATTGTGTGTTATACAGAAAAGAGTATGAAGGGTTATATAAATGTCTGAAATGTGGGGTCTCACGATACAAAGTAAAGAAGGACATCGGTGTGATAGTAATGAGATAACTAAAGGTTCACCTTTGAAGGTGCTATGATATCTTTTAATAATATCATGATTTGAGCATTTGCTTTCTAATGCCACGGAAGCAAAGAATTTGAAATGGTATTTTGAAGAGAGAGTATCTAATGGTAAACTTCAGC